TTTGTATGCCAACACACAATTTAACATATGTTATAATAATATTTCCATGCATTATTAAAAATAAGCGTTTTGTTCCATCATATCTTCGCAATTTTTTACCATCTGCTTTTCATACTTCGCGCTCTCTGATTGTTTTGAGACATGTTCCAAATGTATACAAATTATTATAAACAAGAATTATATATTGTTGTTGTTTATTTGAACTTGTGTATAACAGCACAAATATTTACACTTTTGTTTGTAAACATAGCACTTCTTTCTGTATACGCATTAATCATGCGGTTTGCAGAGTCTGTAATATAAAGCTTAAAGTGAATCTACAGTAATACCAAAATTAAAAATATAAAATATTAAGGTAGATTAAGAATTGTTAATTTGTAGAATATAAGAAAAAAATGTATTAGAAGTAAGAAGTTTAGTTTAGAAGATGAGAAGAACATATTGAGAAACAAGAAGAAGAATGAAAATTGAATGGAATTGAAGAAAATTGAATGGAAGATTAGGATATAAAAAAAGATAGTATATATATATATATATATATATATATATATATATATAAGAAACATATATGTAAAAATTGTATAGAATATGATGAAAAATAATATGAATAATGTAGGTGACTAAAAATGCTGTAAAGCGGAGGCCAATAAAAAAAATTTAAAAAAGCTTAAAGTTTGAGTTTGGTATATCAAAATATTGAGTTTAGTTTTTTTCTCTCTTTTATTAAAAACCATTAGAACATAAATAAATTCTATTAATTATTTTGATATACATTTTTCACATATAATTCTAGATAGTAGTAGATTGTAGATATAATTGTAGTTACCCTAGTGGATAATTACTATTAGATACGTTTCATTGGATCAAGTTAATTTGACCATTTTCTTTTAAGTTTTCTAAATTCTGGTGCAAGAAGCAGCGGAGCAACGACGAACTTATTAAAATAAAATAATTTAATAGTAGAATTTTTTATCCTGTATACATATCGAGAATGGCAGTACATTGTTTTTTTTTTGCTTATTTTCTTTGATTTTTTGGTCTTTTGAACGTGTTTGCCAAATTAAAATGTGATAGCTCTAAATATATGCCGGAAAGCCAGGGACTTTTTTTTATTCATATGTCTTGAGATCTGCTGATTATATTTATACGTAATAAAGCTAGATAGTTGCATCAATAAGTATTCCTCTTGCAAATCAAAAGAAAATAATTCCTTAACTATTGTTTATTATTTTACAATTTATAATTTGCTAGAAAAAGTAAGGCGTTGCTAACCCCCTCGTGTATAGAGCTAATTGGAAAATCTACCTGAAAAGTTGTAACGATAAAAAAATATCGTTTAAAATTCTATTGAAAAATGTTTTGTAATACTTACCCCTGTTATAATTAGTCCCTAGCCCCTCTATATAATAATTGCTGTTGTTTTAATAATTTCAACTTTTGTATATAACTTAAAAAAACAGGATTTGTTTAGTCTTTATAATTTTGGGTAAAGAGGACTTTGAAAAAAAAAACAAAAAATTATATTTGATGGAATTTATTAAAATTACTAGAAATGATTATATTACTATTTATAATTTTCTCTATATAGTGTTTAAAAAAAAACACAAAAAATTATATTACATTATTTTTTTGTCCTTTTATTAAAATAATGTCTGATTATACAAAGTTGATATTACAATAATATTGGCAATTTTAAATTTTTCCAAAATTTACAAACTCATTGTGAAAATTGACATTGTAGATTTGGGACTCTATAAGCTGATCAAATAATATATAAATATTATAAAAATAAAACAAAACTGACTATTCTATAAAAAATACTCTAGTAGTGCCATATAAAATATTTAATTCAATATTGTCGACGAAATGGTATTCTGGCAATCTGTGCGATTTTGCCTATATTCGATTTTGACAAACATTAAATTTCAATAAAATTCAATAAAAATAAAACTATTTTTGATAAAATAACAAACATTGTGCATGTAATTAATTGTGACTGTATGAATTAAGTAAAATGTATAAGCATTACTGTAAGTAAAATGTATAAGCGTAAATACATATAAATGTTTTTTTGTTATACTTTTTTAAATATAATCTGCTGTACTAGGACATGTAGTAATTGTTTTACGTATTATATGGATTTTTGAATAGATGGCAACCCAGTTGTCCAATTCAGTTGTGACTTCAATTAACTATATTCGAAATATTTATTGAGATATTATGATTATATACAGCTTTACCCACGCGAGGCAATTTTTACTTGAGATTATATTTGGTATCTGTAACAAGTAGAAATTTGACTGAAGTCGAACTTGGCTGGGATCGAACCTGCGAACCCGGGACTAGTTCAGGCTAACCCTCGTCCAAATCGAACACGTGTAAATCTGTGTCACTTACATCTCAATATTTTCCATCTGGGATATGTCTTAGATAATCGCCTTTTGAAGACAAAACGTACCCACGCCTTTTGAAGACAAAACGTTGTCTAATATATTCTTTTATTACCTCAGTGGTTAGTGTATGTGTTCAGATGCGAGTTGGGGTTCTTGAACCGTAACAAGAGAGCATCGTGTTCTTCAGTGGTCCAACTTTACCAAAGTCTTGTCTTATCTTTGTGAAACGATTGAGAGCAAACTCGGACCGTTTAGGTGAGTGAAGTAGAAAACTGTTTGTACGCTTTATTAAGCGCACGAGACCGTCCAAAGTACGTAATTATTGCGCAACAATCTGCCGCAGCCTCTGGTCAATCGTTAGTTTAGCCTTGATAAGCTTTCGGTTCCGTATTTAATAAAAATATTTAATAAGTTTGTTATTAAATAAGAAATGCTAAAAACTAGTGGTGTATGGCATTGTACCTTGGGGCAAATTTCTGTAGTTTTCCGTTCCATGAAAAATATTGGATGAATAATAATAATTAACGAGGCGAATTCAAATTCAGTAAGAAAGGTTAAGGTTATAACAAAATTGAAAAAATTGAAATTGGGTAATATGAATTAATTAATTTTGAAAATTTTGAAAATTAAAAAAATTGTGCTATAAAAATTTGAAAATTTTGAAAATTTTATTTTTTGATATTGATAAATTAAATTTTTCATGGAAGTAAAACGCACTGGCGAAAATTGTATTGTTTTCAACTAATTTTTGATCATCAAGTATTTCACTACTTTGCAGTCCTGATTTTAGTTTAAATAAAACTTGCCAACACACTTTAGTATTTTTTTTGTTTGAGAAGGACCTCTCAAAGTCGACCGATTTTAAAAATTATAAATTCATGATTCAACAAAAAGTCTAAATACTCGGAAACTTGGGGCATTTGTGTAATTATTTTTGACTGTGGTTCTAGAAGTATTATTGAAGCTTATAGTTCCAAAGTTTAGTTGAACAAAAGTATTGAAAATCAGCCACAATAACCGAAAATTGATAACAATTTTACTAAAGCTCTAGGTTGCACTTAAAAGCTCATAATCTCCAAACAACGTGAGATTTTTTTCAGGACAATCAACCCTAGTCACCCTATTTCAGCTTGACGTTGAGTTTTGGGTCACCTTATATATATATATATATATATATATATATATATATATATATATATATATATATATTATATATATATATAAATTAAAATTGAAATTCTGTATTTATACGTTTCAACACTTGACACTTTTTTTCTTATGTAATTTCAAAGACTTTAACAATATATACGTTAAAAAAAAAATCTTGGTAAAAATTATGCATACCGTGCCAAGACTATCGGTCGAGCCGCTCCTTAGTAATTAAGAAAAACGTGAAAAATGTTTGTCCACGTTTTAGCCAAAAATTCAATAACTATTCAGAAGATATTATTTGGGAATCGTGCTGATTAGATTTGGACAAAGATCGGCCAAACCGTTTCTTTGTAATTAACTTCGAAATTTTTTATGTTGATAGACATCATAGTCCTAAGGAACTTACTAAAATTTTATGGCCATACGGTAAGTAGTTAAACTTTAAAAATTCATCAAAGATTGAAAAAAAAGTGCCAAAAGTCGCTTTTTGTGATGAGTCAAATGTGATGCAAAATTTGATTTCAACAAATTTAAAAGCCACTTTTTTGTAATCAGCGGAAAAATAAATCTACAAAACATTTCTAGTTATGTAAAAAATGTTGTCATTAATATAGATCCTTAATTAATATCAGGGACTAAGTACATGATATACTTAATCGTGCAGTTGAAAACTTGATCTAAATTTATTAAGATTAAGTCAATTATTACACATTTCGAGAAGCTTATGCAACTTCTCTTGAGACAAAATGCCACTTTAAACTAGTTTTATAAAATTTCAATTAATAAACACCAAACCAACATAAAAAACAATATACCTACATATAATAATAATAATAAGCTGAGTTAAAATCCAACTCGATTCAGGGAAGAATAGTGTGAGAAATTTCCCATTGTCATTTCACACCGCAGTGCTCGAGATGAGCTAATTTTCAAATGGAAACATATTTTTTATCTATATTTCCAATATATATTTCTATTTCCAATATATATATATATATATATATATATATATATATTTCCAATATACATATGTGTACGAATAACCTACTTCACTCACAACTGTATCGATGACATTGAAATTTCAAATCGGCTCTCAATAATTTTGCAAACGACGTAGTTTTATATTAACTCTTTAATTGAGCTGCATAACTGCATGCTCAAGTTTCTATTGTGACTAGAAGAAATGTGAGATTGACAACACCTTATGCCGGAAATAATTATACAGTGAAAATAAATAGGAAATAACCTTCGCGATGGCTCTCCGTATTATACTTTAGGCGAGTGGAAAATAAATATTTGATTTTCTTGAAAACAATAAATTTTTAGACTAACTATATAAGCTGTCATTTTAATTTTTCAAGAGCATAGTTATATTTCTTTCATTGCAGTAGGGTAATAAATACTTAACAGGTTCGTGGAAGTTATAGTTATATATTGTATATCGGATCTTCTCATTAAATATTTCAGTGTTCAATTTTTTGTAGATTTTTTTTATTGAATTTTTTCCATAAAATATTTTTATTTAGTGCGTGAAGAGCATCGTGATTTATTTCTCTGTATAATATTATCCAGATATGATTCGTTTTCTCCTGTGCTGTGCCTTCGTGCTAGTGAGCGTGCATGCTGCATGCGATCGGAGCTTAGCCGATCTCTCTTACCGTCTCTCCGGTAGCGATCTTCAGTGGCCTTGTCAATCAACCAAGAACATTTACGTCAGTTCTGGCAGATACGTTCCAAAGAATGTCATCATAACCAGAGCCCAAATGTGGAACGATCAAGTTATAGTCGCCATGCCCAGATACAAACCAGGAGTACCATTCACTCTCGGAAAGATGTCTTTGGCCAAGGCTTCTAAATGCATCGCCACATTAGCTCCATTCCCATGCTGGTCCATGCAAGAAGAAGGCAACTGTGAAGCTTTGCAAAGCGTTGTTGATATTTTCCTCGATCCCATGGTAATTATCAAGAGAAATGATACACAATGGAACTACATTTTCTTTGCAAGAGATTATAATATTGTGGTTTTTAGGATATATTGTGGGTTCTCGATGTTGGTATTGTTAACACATTAGAACAACCCGTTCGCCGTTGCCCACCTAAAGTTGTGGCTGTGAATATGAAGACTGGAAAGGTTGTGAAAGTTGTCAGTCTTGAAGGATTAGTCAGCGATGCTAGCAGATTGCAATACATTCTTGTAGATTATGATGAAGAAGGCAAACCTTATGTGTAAGTTTAAATAAATTTTTAGTTTACAAGAGATTTTTTCAATGTGTACATTGTTCACATTGTTGTCCTTTATCCAGGTTTGTGAGCGATGCCGGAACTAGAGCCATTGTCGTGTTTGATGTGTACGCCGGCCAAGGACATCGTGTCGTTTTGCCCAAAGCAGTCACCGCCGGCTGTGCCCCCAATGACGTTCTTTACATCGCATTAGTCCGTAAATCTTGTGGCCAAACTGTCTTGTACTTCACCTACCTCAACAGCCCAAGATTGTTCTCTATCAAGGCCGCTTTACTCCGCAAGGGACAAGGTGCCGGTGCCGTAGTCGATGTTGGACCCAAACCCAATGGCCTACCAATAGTTCTTCTGGGTACAGACAACGGAGCTGCCATATTCTTCAGATTCAAGGGCCAAAGTGACGTGTACATGTGGAACACTGAAACCTGTTTCAAGGAATCCAATTTCGTCGAAGTATTGCCAGGAGGCGACTGCAGATTGGCTACCCAAGTATTGCCAGGATTTAAAAAACTCATGTGGGCGCTTGAAAGTAACTTCCAACATTACATCGCCGATACGACGGGTTGCGTTGGCGCTAGTATAATGTTGAGGCCAGTTGTTAAAACTTGCGATGCTTAGACTGATGAATTGAAATAAAAACTATGTGTGAAACTATTTTGACGAAAGTGTTTGGTTTGAGTGCAAACTTAAACCGTTGAAGAAAAATACTTGATATTATATTGTAGGCACAGTTGCGTATGTGTCTTTGAACGAATGCTAAAGTGCAAACGTTTGCAAAAATGTTCATGTAAATGTACAATTATATAAACAATAAATTAAAAATTAAATAATATATTTCTTAGTTTTATTTTTTACACAATGTAATTAATTCAAAAATTGATTACTCCTTGCAATACTAATTATAACGCTGACAATCTATAAATTGTATGGAATTCTTTGGGTGCTTTTCAATATTATTATATTATTATATTAAAATATTACTTACGCGTAACGATTCTGTGACTAGTTTTCAATAAATACATGTCATATTAATATATTTTCCTTGCATTTTTACAAGTTTGCATCGATATTTGATAAAAACACATTTGATAATAATTAGATTTCTTTAAACGTTTTAAGCTAAATAAATCTCATTTTATATTCTGAGCTTAAATTGTAAATTAAAAAATAATCCGACTTTTTTTCTGGCAAAACTGAAAAATGCATCTTTCGAACAAACATTAAATTAAATCCATCACTCTTCCAAAAATTTGAATTTTTTAGTCAGTAAAATTTATTATCATAGTTGGCCATGCTAATTCTTGGACAATTCTTAGGAATTCTTCAAAAGTAGTGAATATACACCAACTGTAAAAATGTTCAATTCAACTTATGGAATTTTTAAAGAAGGATTTCATTTTAATTTTAGTTGGATTGCATACGAAATTGTCAAAAATCTGAAATTGAACTAAATTAAATAAATAAATTATAAAAACAAGTATTATGTTCGAATTATATTTTTATTCATCTAGAATTTCACTATATTCATATAAATTCAAGTTAGATCAAAGATAAATTAAACTTAATTACAAAGTTCAATACTGGGAAGGAGTAAACTTTAAATGAGGAAATTTTCTTTGCAAATAATATGAAATCTTAATTATATATATATATATATATATATATATATATATATATATACGTGCTTCTACTTACAAATATTTAAATCTTAATATATACTCAATAATTATATTTCTTAAAATTAATTTATTTACAATGACAGACTTATTAATATTAAACCACACATTGGAAACAAAAATGTGCGATCAATACAATCTTATATATAAAAATGGATCGCAAAATGTGTTGGTAAGCGCATAACTCAACAATGCCTGGACCAATTTGGCCAATTCTTTTTTTAAAATGTTCGTTGAAGTCCAAGGATGGTTGTTACGGCGAGAAAAAAACGAATAATTTCCGGGAAAACCCTAAAAATAGCCCTTTTCTTCTTTAATCGAGTAGGCAACGCAATTTGTATAAAAAACAATGATCTATGTCATGACATTTTGTGTAGTTTTTGATAATCTTGAATATATTTATATAAACATAGAAATATCTTCCTATTAATCAAGCTATATTAGCAGCCAAAAATATTGATGTAAATTAATTAAATTTCAAAATTCAAGAACAAATTGTAGGCGAATCAGTTGATTCGGCAACTAACCAAGACGATGCACCGGAGTTTTTAAACTCGATGGATTTGCTAGGATTGTCACCTCACAATCTTCAATTAAAGGTTGGATCGGCAATTATAATGTTGCGAAATATCGACCAACCGCACCTTTGCAACGGCACAAGGTTAGCGATAAAAAAAGATTTGAGTTTAAACGACTACAGTTTCCAGTGCGTTTATGGTATCATTAAGTGTTTGTGGTATTAATTTGGAAAACCCATGTTTCTCACATGGAAAATTGTATGTTGTCTGTTCCCGTATTGGAAAACCATCCAATTCGCCAGGTAATCAAACAAAAAACATCGTTTATCACAAAGCACTACAATAAAAATTGAACTGATTTTTGAATTATGATTTACATCATTAAAATTACTTACATTTAAATGCTTATAGTGTTTTATTTAATTATTTTTAATTCACACCGAATTATTACCAGGGTGACGGTTCTGTTCAGGATAATTTTTTGCAAAGAATAGAAAAAAGGTAGGCACAAAACACCGCCACATTACAATTTTTTTTTAACAGGACGAAGTCTGTCGGGCCGGCTAGTTTTAAATAAAAATACAGATGATTTAGGGTATATCACAAAAGTTAATTTAATTTTTTTTTAATATTGCTCGTTATATAGGTACAATTTTGAATTCGAGTTTAAATAAATTTTTTTCATTTGTTTATAAATACTATTAACTTGTTCTCAATTTATGATAATGAATAGTATATTGATCAGGTGAAGTATATACTGTTTGGTTATGGATTTATAAATATTTACTATATATAACTTAAATATAATAGATCTTAATAATAATAAATTTTAAATCGAGAATTATGATAAAACAATAGGGCACAAGAATTGTGTGCTGGCACAATATACAATATTCCATTCAGGGGTCTTATTGAAATAATTAAATTACTTTATATATAACTTTCAATAATTTTCTGCAAAAGTATTTATTTATATAACATAAAACAACACGTGTACAAAAATATGTCTTTATGGATAAATTAATACTAAAGATATTGCACCGACGTTGTAACAATTTAATTAATTATTTGAAATATATAATTGCTTCTTCATAGAACATAGAACTTCATAGAATAATTTGAATTGAAAAATCTGTGAAAATTTAGTCAACGCTCCTATAACGCGGTTTTTATATTACTCTGACCTGACATGCGACAGCTCTCCTATTTCAAGGTTTTCATTAAACAACCCATAAGTTTCTCTATCAAAATACAGTCATTCCTACTATAACGCGGTTTTCATAATACTCTTATCTGAATTGTGGCAGCTCTTTTATAACGAGGTTTACTTCACAAAACCCATAACTTTCTCTATCAAAATACGATCGACCCTTCTTTAACGCGGTTTTTATTACTCTGGTCTGAATTGCGGTAGCTTTTCTATAACGAGGATTTTATTCAATATCCCATAAGTTTCTTTCTTAACTAATGAATGGTGCTGGTAACGAGATATTGTAAAAAGTTTTAATATAAGTCATATCGACTATTTTATCTTTTACAATATAATTATATAAACATGCCAGTTTATACAATCGTTTTTTGTATTTTTGGTTACCATATAACGCGGTATATATTGATGTAATTTGTACTAACTCTGAGTTTCTAGTAGAACGCGCTCCATATAACGCGCTTAATATAACGCGCTGGCTTGTATAGAACGCGCTACGAATTAGATTAGTTTCAATTCGAGTTTCTTATAGCGCGATGTTCATATACCACAGTACGCGTTATAGGAAAGTTAGCTGTATTTGTGTTATTACAGATAATTTAATAATAAATAGATCAAGAACGTGATGGCACAATATACAATATTTCCTAATCAAATATTAAATAAAACTTTTAATTTACAGGATTTGTATTTAGGGGACTATTGTCCAATAAAATAGAAATGTTAAGGCTACGATATGTGCTGTATTCTAACTATGTATGAATTGGTAGTAAAACCTGTGGAAAAGCTATGTTTTTACTGTGCGATCAGGCGTTGTCGACAAAAAATCTAACTTTACGTATGTGTTATCAATGAGGCATCAGAAAGATGCACTTACTATAACATTGTTATTTGACGTTTAGGTTGTATGAGTAAAACGCCTGTTCGCACAGCAAATGCATAGCTATTTGGCAGTATTTTCAATCAATTCACATAAAAGTAACATAAGATTTCTATTCCATCGGACAATTGGCTCCCCAGTTTTCGTGGATTCTGCTTCCACAACTATGTACACTTTAAACTTTACAAAAATATATGTCTTAAGGTTAATTTAACAGTAAATAAATGTTCAGTCGATAATAGTTCCAAAAATATTTTCTGTGAAGACTTTTTATTATTTTCTACACCTCGTAGACATCTCCATCATTTGGTTGAACTGGCTCCAAAATCGGTTTTACTTTGAAACGCGTTCTGTCTCCTGGCCCAAGATTGCGCGATGGAATCTGATCAGATGGGATAGTAGATATGAAGGCATATCGTCAAATTAACTTTACTTTTTGTTTGTATTTAGTAATTTGATGGTTTAAAGTTATCTCATTTAATAGGAATAGAATTTATGGAGATTTGAATACGATTCACACGATGCCAGACGATATTAATAGATCAATATAAAGGCCAGTTTTTGGATAAAGTAGTTATGTTATGGTAATGCTATGTTACGGGTCTATATTTGTATGGGTTGGTAGTAACAAATTGTCAAAAAGATATATATTTGCTCTGCTATTGGGAAGTTTCGCACATAAAACCTAACTTCACATATGTATATCAAAGAGATATCAAAAAGTTGCACTCATGATGAAATTGCTATTTGACATTGGTGTGTCTTGTTTGCAAAGCGCCTGATCGCACAAGAAATACATAGCTTTTTGGCAGTTTTTTACTACCAACTCATACAAATATATCCGAGTATTGGTACTATTTTATCCGAGAATTGGCTCTATAAATTACCGCAAAATAAATATTCAAAAAATAAACATTTTAACGCTTGTATAATGTATTGAGCATTAATTACGTTACCTCATTTTGTGAAATTTATTCTAACAATTCTGACTTGTTTTTTTAGACTCTTAATATTTTTTTTTTTTTTGACTGAACGAAATATTTTATACGAAAACATAGAAAGTACCTAATTTTTGCAAATGAAATGTGTGTATAATTAATTTTATTCAATATATGATGAAACAGTTTGCAAAAAATGATATAATTTAATATTGAAAAAAATAATATTATTCATACTTTGGATACGATTTACGTTGAAACGTCCTTTTGAAAAAATCTGACATCAAAAACTAATATCAGTACTAAATTTAAGAAAAAAACGATATTTCTGTACTTTATATTGGATTAAAAATCGAACAGAAATGCATTAATTGACTACTTTGTGAATTATATTAAATA